CTAGCCTGCAAACAGCAGCCCTCCTGCTATTGCTGTGCCCTGACATGCCTAGACATGTCTTAGCCTCATTCTACATTCTTTTCCTTATTCGGAAAAAGGTTAGCTTTCTCCTATCCACAGGCAGCCCTCTTCCCTTCCCTCCTTCTCCCCCATCACACATCTACCTGACATAGAAGGTTTAAGTGTTTAGCCAATTGGGACTAGTTTGGGTTGTGTAGTCTGACTCCAGCCAATAGGGAATGACACAGAAGCAGGGACTGTGTTAGGAATAAACACCCTTACTCTCCTTTGTTCAGTACAGAAACCGCAGGCAGCCTGTAGCCTTCCTGTCAAAGGTTTTAGACCCAGTATGTGTGGGTGGCCCGAATGCATTCAATCTATCATGGCAACCATGTTATTGACTGAAGAAAGCAGGAAGTTAACCTTTGGGGGAAAATTAGTGGTAAGCATGCCCCATCAAGTTACAACTATCTTAAACCAAAAGGCAGGGAGGTAGCTCACTGACTCAAGCATCTTAAAATACGAAGCTGTTCTATTACAAAGAAATGATTTAACACTAACCACTGATAACTCACTCAACCCAGCAGGTTTCTTAACAGGGTATCCAAACCTAAAAAGAGATCACACATGTTTAGAGTTAATTAACTACCACACAAAAGTCAGACCAGATTTAGGAAACACCCCTTTCAAAACGGGGTGGCATTTATTTATAGATGGCTCCTCCCAGGTAATTGAGGGGAAAAGACATAATGGATATTCAATAATAGATTGAGAAGCTTTAGTAGAAATAGGGTCAGGAAGACTGGCTAATAATTGGTCTGCCCAAACTTGTGAACTGTTTGCATTAAACCAGGCTTTAAAATGCTTGCAAAACCAGGAAGGGACAATTTATACCGACTCTAAGTATACCTTTGAGGTAGCTTATACCTTCGAGAAGATTTGGACTGAACAAGGTCTTATTAACAGCAAAGGCCAAGATCTCATCCGCAAAGAGTTAATCACCGAAGTGTTAAATACTCTCTAGTTACCCAAAGAGATAGCGATTTTCCATGTTCCAGGACACCAAAAAGGCTTTTCCTTTGAAAGTCAGAAAAATAACCTTGCAGATCAGGTAGCCAAACAGGCTGTATTTCCTCTGAAGCGCTTGTTTTTCATTTAACTCCTTGTCTTCCTCCCCTGTGGCTTCTGTGTTCCTGGGTAAGTACCCCTAAAGCCACCCCATTATTAATGTTAACAAAAAGGTGGAATGGTTTTTCTAGGGATGGTAAGGCTAGAACAGGGGCAGTTATAAGCATATGTTTTAATTCTTCAATTTGATGAATTTCTTCAGAAGTCCACAGAATATGATCAGGTTTCCACTGGGTAAATTTTCTGTATAGAAGTTTAGTTTTTAGAGCATATGAGTGAATCCATAAGCGGCAATATCCAACTAATCTTAAAAATTTTCTGCTTCTGCTTAGTTTGAGGCAAAGGTAAGGATCTGATTCCTTCTACTTGTTCAGGTCCCATCCTTCATTTGCCTTTACTTATTAAGTGTCCTTACTATGTAACTTCAAGCTCTACAAACTTGAGTTTTCCTTTTGAAACTCATAATCCTTCCCCTTGTAAATGGTTAAGAAAGTGTGTAGAGAAGGCAGCTACTTTCTCTGCATTTTCACCAGATATGAGAAGATCATCTACATATTGGAGCAGACATATTTGTTTTGGGGTATGAATTTATTCTGAAACCTGTTCTAAAATTTGGTCATAAAGGTTAGGGGAATCTGTGAACCCTTGGGGCAAAACTGTCCATCAGTACTGTTGTTTCTATCCAGAATAAGGATCTTCCCATTCGAAAGCAAATATGTGCCGACTGTCCTCAGCCAAGGGACAGGCCCAAAAGGCAGCTTTTAAGTCTATGACTGTAAACCACTGATGGTCATAGGGGATTTTGCTGAGGATGGTGTAAGGGTTAGGGACTACAGGATAAGTAGTTTGGACTCACTGGTTGATAGCTACTAGGTCTTGTGCTAGTTCGTATGACCTGTCTAATTTCTTTACAGGCAGTATTTGGGTGTTAAAAGGGGACATGCAGGGTTCAAGAAGCCCATCTTGAATGACATTTTAAATTATGGGCTTCAAGCCTATTCTGCCTTCTAGGGGAATGGGATATTGTTTTCTTCTTACTACTTCCCCAGCCGTTTTTAGCTTTTTGTGTTTTGGAAGGACTTGAGGTCTTCCTTGATTTTCTTCTCTTGACCAGACATCAGGGTGGATGTATCTTTCATCCACAGTGGTAAATAGGTTTAGTGAGGTGAGGAATCCCTCCGGGCCAACATGTAAGCTGGTGGCCTACATGTTGGCCCAGAGTTCTAGAACATGATGCCTAGTTCTAGCAATCAGTCCCTTCCTAATAGGTTAATTTCTGCTTCAGGTATTAAAAGAAGCTTTATGTGAGTTGATCAGTTTTTATACTGACTTCTGTTTCTTCTAAGATTTTTACTTTAAATCCTTCTCCCTTTACCCTGAGACAGAAAGTTCTGAGGAGCAAGTGATATCAGATGGAGGGAAACACACAGAGGAACCAGGTGCTCCTGAATCTACTAAAAAGGTTGTGAGTTCATATTTGGGTCCCACCTCTAAGTTTATCAAAGATTTTTGGTGGGACTTGAGATAAAAGAGACAGAGCCTTCCATTGATGGTCATAGGGGATTTTGCTGAGGATGGTGTAAATTTGTAAAGGGTTATAAAACGTTTTTGCTTCTTTAAAATTTCTGAGTCATCATTTTTGCAAAATAAATAGTGGACGTAGCTGTTGCATTTATTATGAAATCTTTTAAATAAGTTCTTACCAACATGCTAGGGGTTTGGTCTAGGTGCTGCTGCTCACCACACAGAAAGCCAATCACTGACATGAGTTTTGCCAGGAAAGAAGGCAATTGGGTGCTGTAGTCAAGGAGAATGGGAGGTAAAGTTTCAAACCTGTCTCCTTAACAAACTAAAATTGGGGTTTACATACCAGGGAAGGCAGGAAAAAAATAGTAGGAAGAAGTAAGAAAGCAATGGATGAGGGGTCTGGCATATGATTAGATGTGGTGATCTGATGATTTTCTGTTCCTCACTTGAGGGTCAGTTTCCCGAGGAAGGATTTCAGGTAAGACAAGTGTGAGTTTCACTTTTGAGGACCAGGAGGGTCAATTTCTATGTTTATTCCAAAAAGTCATAAATATCAATTCTATGAGGAAATTGAGCGGGTTTCCAAATGAGAGGAAAAGTAAACTTTATATAGAATTTCATTTAGAAAACTAAAGTAGTTAGATTAAATATGTTTGATAAAAGGGGAATAAACTATGGCATCATACTAAAAACAAGCCACATGGCATATTCCTTCAAATAGTCATTTTATGCTTACAGAATTTTAGTACTTTATTGCCAGCTGTTAGTTTGATTTCTTTTTAATGAAACTTGAGAACACTTAACTTGGAGGAAATGCCAGTGACAGAAATGGCATAACTATAGTCATGTGCCTGATCTATTTTCCCCCAAATACTTAGAAGGAGTTAAAATCCAAGGAATAGAAAACACATATGATAGATGCAGTAGGTTGATAAGGGCGGATTCCCAGAGAATCTCTGATCCACCCCAAAAGTGTTTACATCAGATGCTTTTGTGCGGATGAGGGAACCTACCCAGGGCCTTGTCCGGTCATGCCCACAATGGACTGGGGACCTGCTTGCACACTGGGAGAATGTGGTAGAGCCCCTGAGAATTCAAAGCTTATGCAGGCAGGAGGAGCCTGGACTCTTCAGCTTGTGTGTGTGATCGCGTGGTATTCAATCTGTGAGGTGGCACTGTTGGCAGGATGCCTCCCCCTGCTTTTATTATTATTTTTTTTAACACTGAGTGCTTTCTTTTGATAAATTCTGCTCTCCTCGCTTTTCAACGTGTCCACGTGCCTAATTTTTCCTGGTCGTGTGACAAGAACTTGGATTTTAACTGAACTAAGGAGCAAAAGATCCTGCATCACATAGACAGAAAAAGAGGCAGAATTAGATTAAATTTAATTTTTTAATATACTGAAAAAATAAGGCTTTGTGTTTTCCTGTTAAAAATAAAACCCAGAGAAACAGAGAATAGCATGCTAGTTTCCAGGGGATAGATGGAAAGGGAAATGGGAAATTGCTGCTCGAAGCACAGAAAGTTTCACTTATGCAAGATGAATAAGTTCTAGAGATTTCCTCTACAACATAGTACCTACTATTAACAATTTAGTAATGTGCACTTTAAAATAATCGAGAGGCTGGACGTGGTGGCTCATGCCTGTAATCCCAGCACTTTGGGAAGCCGAGGCGGGCAGATCATTTGAGGTCAGGAGTTGGAGACCAGCCTGGCCAACATGGTGAAATATAGTCTTTACTAAAAATACAAAATTTAGCTGGGCATCGTGGTGCATGCCCGTAATCCCAGCTACTCAGGAGGCTGAGGCACAAGTATCGCTTAAAGCTGCGACGCAGAGGTTGCAGTGAGCCAAGATTGCGCCACTGCACTCCAGCCTGGGCAACAAAGCGAGACTCCATCGCGAAAAAAAAAAAAAAATTAAGAGACTATATCTCATGTTGTGTTCTTATAAAAATAAAAGCAGATAGACAGAAAAGAACATAAGGACGTATTTGGAGGTGATGGATACGTTTAGTACCTTAGCTGTGGTGATGGCATCTCAGGTATATACAAACTCACCAGAAAGTATACATTAAGTATGTGCAATATTTTGTATATCAATTTGACCTCAATAAAGCTTTAAAGAATAAAGAAGTGTATTAAAAATAAAAACAAGTTATTGTAGTTTTTTCATTTAGAAGCATTACATTAAAATTTTATATTTGGATAGAAAAAGAAATAAATTTGTATTTCACTAAAGAAAAAGAATAGACACTGTTAACATCCATACACATTTCTTTCAATTCTTAATTTACATGCACGGATTTGCTTTTATTCTTTTTGTTTTGAATATTTGGCCACATGACTTTTTTTTTTATTTGTATACATTTAAACGGTACAAGTATAATTTTGTTACATGAATTAGAGTGGAGAAGTCTGAGCTTTTAGTTTATCTATCACCTAAATATTGTATATTATACCCATTAGGTAATTTCTCATTACCCACTCCCCACCAAACACTTCAGGCTATGATACACAAATGAAAAATTCAGAATTCCATGCTTCAAATATTATATTTGTACATATACTGCTTCTTTCCTTCCAATCTACCACATAGTACATATAGCTAAATAACATTCCTTTAAAGTTGTTTTATTCTATGCTATCTTAAATGCAAAAAATATCAAACTATTAAATAACTATTAAAAGAATTACTAACTTTTTATTTAGCTTTTATTGTCAATGCCATGGAAAAGACAAACTGGAAATCCAAGTATGGAGTGAAAGTTCTGTTCAGAAGTTGTCTTTATGATCAATTTAGGATAAAATACTTTTCTCCTATTTAGATGATGTCTGTTAGAAACTTTCTGTTAGAAACTTTACCTAAAAAACCCAAGTCTTTAAAATCTGGCTCTGCTTTAACATGCAAAGTATTTCTACATTTTGTTGTACATTTACACAACACTGGTTCTATTGCGCGTGAAGATCGCATCTCTCTGGCAAATTCCCTTAAATGTGGAACTACAGTCTTCAGAATACACCCGCTTCCCTGTGATAACGGCACAGCTCCTGTCATCAGTTGGTCCAATCACGGAAAACCTGAGATAAAGGACAGATTTTTGAGCATCTATCTTAAAATGATGGTAGTATCTCTTGAAGTTTTATCCAGCCAAACTTTTATAGATAATTCTTCAGCAGCCAAAGTTTTGCAGAGGTTCTAGAATGGAATTTTCATTGTTAATACAGCCTCTTCTCCTCTTTCCTATGTTAGTAACAACACCATGCAAGCTCAAGCTAGACTAGAAGACATCCCAGCTTCTTCCTTACCTCTCAAACCTCTCATTATATATACCTGCAAGACCTGAGTATTCTATTTCCAGATTATCTCTTCTATCCATTCACTTCTCCCAGCATCTCAATTTAGACTCAAGTTACCATTATCTCTCCCTTATCTCTAGCCATAGCCTTCAAACTGACCTCCATAATTTCAATTTTGTTTCCCATCTATTAATTTTCCACATAGCAGCATAAATAATTTTTTATAAGGTAAGTAGATGCCAAAATGAAAGTTTTTAATAGAAACTATGTAGTGATAGGTATGCTATAACAATGTGAGTTGGAAGGCAGTTACCCAGGATTTTGTTTAAGTCAGAGTAAAAACTATTAAATGACTCTTAAATTCCTCATATAACTTCCACAGTATAAGGTTAGGACGATGCACAATGTATAAATGGAATGCCTTTGAAGAGAGCTATTTCATAAACTATTCTTTCTAGTTACTAATGATTATTTAAGAAAATACAGGCTGAACACTGTTATAACCACCTGCATGTGTGTCATTTTCCTTAAATGATAACGTAAAAGCTTTTAAGAGGGATAAGGGATATTTTACCTTTATAGTAATGCTAGTTTCCAAAAAAGTAAAAAATAATTATAATAAAAATTAGTAAGAAATCTTACTTTTTTTTTTTCAAAGATTGCATTAAAAGCAGGTCCAGGAAATGGACACTACTTCATCCTTTAGTTTTATGTTCATGAAGGATGATAATAAATGTAGAATAGATGTATCCAGGTGTAGATAAATATCTAAACTGAAATGAACTATCACTCCATGGTCTTTGCTCCAAACTTAACCACATCTCCAGTGTTTTCGTAGTATGACTAGTAACTGAAAGCACAGAAGAAAATATCAAATGTGAACTTCAGAATTTTAAAGCACTCTTACATGCAATACCTCATGTTGTTCACATAAGAACAATGTGAAGAAAGTATCATGGATCTTTTTATACAGATAAAGAAGCAGGTGTCAGGCTGGGAGTGGTGGCTCACACCTGTAATCTCAGCACTTTGGGAGGCTGAGGTGGCTGATAGTTTGAGCTCAGGAGTCGGAGACAAGCCTGGGCAACATGGCAAAACTCTGTCTCTACAAAGCATACAAAAAATCAGACACCTGTAGTCCTAGCTAGTCTGAGGCTGAAGTGGGAGAGCTGCTTGAGCCTGGAAGGTAAAATCTGCAGTGAGCCATGATCATGCCACTGCACTCTCGCCTGAGCCACAGAGCAAGGCTCTGCTGAAGAAGAGAGAGAGAGAGAGAGAGAGAGAGAGAGAGAGAGAGAGAGAGAG